GTTGATATTGTTATAAGCTAAAAGGAAAGAAAACTAGATCCCCATTTCATTTATCTCTTGATCCTGCAGGGGTGTAACTCGAGATGCCTCCCAGTGGCTTGATGAAACTGGAACCCCATAACTGGAGTTCAGAATCTTGTAGGGAAACCAACTGCAGTGTATGGGCAAGATTTTTGCAGGCGCTCGTTTCTCCTTTTCTTCTAGTTTTTCTTAGATTTGTTTTCCTTTCAGTATCATACGTAGCTAGCCTTGAGGATGATGAGCTAGATCTTTACCACTGGAGACCAATGGAAGAAGGCAGCAGAGTTTGCAGGTCTCGCAGGGCCTGGTGAAACGAAATGGAGCTGTTGGGCTTCTTCCCAAGGTCTCCCGATGGGGACCGACTGACAAAAACAAGGAAGAAGCAGCGCTAGAGGAGGAGAGAGTCGGAACTTATCGTGTGATGTTGCTTTAAGGCAAGGGTGAGAGGCCACAGTGGGCCTGGAAATGGCTTGAAATGGGCATTTTTAAAAGAGAATAAAGCAAACAGGAGATGCACAGCGTTTCTTTTTGGCTTCATTGAGGTCATGGACTTGGAGGAGCTTCCCCCTCCACCAAAAGCCTTTAAGGTGAAAATCATCTGTCCCTGAAGCCTTTAGGAACAGAAATGGCTCCTGAGCAACATCTTTTAAAACTCTGTTTTTTAATTCAGGGAATTCTGGGGTGGTCTCAAGGGGCTACAGAAATGGCCCTGCCTGGTGTATGTTGTCATCCTCTGCTATAAGGCCTGGGCATTCATCTCCCCCTCATCTCTGGGCTTCATTTGCCTTGTATCCATTCACCAAAAAGCAGTTGTTATTGTGACTCAGTGGCCACGGGGCATCAAAACAGCCCATTGCTCCACCCCTCACCACCTGGATTTTTGCCTCTGAAATTCAGAGGATGGTCATCTGTAAACCCAAGACACAGACCTGGGTCTTCTAACACCTGGAGTCAGCTATGTCAATTCTCTCCAAGTGGTACTTGTTTTCGCTATATATAGTGTATCATAGAATCATAGATAGGAAATGAAACACAACAAAACAAAGACTAAGAAAAATAAAGACGACGTAAACGGTGTGGAACCTTCAAGAATAACTGTTATATTTTAATGTCAGCATCTGTGGGCCTGATCCATGAAAGCTCACATCAACCTATAGCCATTAGTCTTGCAGGAACCACAACATGGGTGTGTGTTTTCCCATGGAGGCTCCTTCGCTCTCCAAGCACGGAGGCTCCGAGCAGCAATTTCCAGGCAGCAGCACTTTCTTGAGTGAACCACCCACCCCCACCCCTGGCAGAGGCCCGGTGGCAGCTGTACGCCTGTTAAGTTTTCCTTGGAATTCAGCTCCCAGGGACTGCGCAGGCCGCTCAGAATCCAGAACAACGGAGCTGCCCTTCATGAAAGTGTTTGCCCCCTGAAACCTGCCGGGCTTCTGGAGGCTTTCTTTAAGCAGGGCATGTTTGAGAACAATGACCGGTGATCGGGGTGCGCCTGAAAGAATGACGGGAGGGAGGCATGGGGTCCTTATAGGGTCTCCAGATAATCCCTATAGGAGTGGTGGTGAGGGAAATAAACCAAAAGACCCGAAATGCAGGCACACAACATATATGCGTGTGAAGCAGTAGCCTAAGCACACATGTAAGTACAGTATGTCAGGAGTCCGGCGTGGAAGATCCGTTCCCGTCTAGTCCAGCATTCTTCTTTGTACAATGGCCAGCCAGTTGCTTCAAGGAAGCCCATAAGTGGCCATGAAAGACACGGCCTCCCCCCTGATTTTTGCCCCCATCCCCATCCCACCCACCCCCAGCATGCAGCTTTCAAAGGAACTTCGCTTCCCGTGGATGGGGTCAAGGGAGGTGGAAATGTTCAGATGCAGATCTTGGCCAGCCCTACAAGGACAGAAGGAACTTCACTTCCCGTGGACAGGGTCAAGGGAGGCGGAACTGCGCAGATGCAGATCTTGGCCGACCCTACAAGGACAGACATACATCAGGATTGATCCGTAGCTATTATTTAAGGCATGCAGCATATTCGGAAAGGCTCGGATTTATGCATCTCTAGAAGCTGTGGTTGAGGGCTTTATCTTCAATTTCTTGACACTATCCAAAAATCAAAAGTTGCTGGAGAGACCCGAAATAGCTTGAGAAAAAGAAAGTAGAGGGAGACAGCATGTCCCCAAACAGTACAAGACCACCTTTTCCCAGAATTAGAAATGTACAGTTTTATCTCCAAAGTCAAGCAACCCGTTCAGCAATGTTTGTTTCCACTGGGAGCAGCTCTTTTGTAAAGCTAATGTTGCTTAACTGCTCACTCAAGACCAAACTATCCCAAATAGCTTGTGTTTAGGGCAGGACAGCTGGGAGGGCGGGAATCTTATTCCCACTGCCAGGTGATGTGAGCATTATCGCTAAAATAGGAGCGGACAAGGAATGGGTTGGCCTATGACTTTTCCCACCTCTGCTAATCATTAAGCCTAAGGGACTTCAACCCAGCAAGCTTTCGTTCCAACAAGCTTTCCTTCCATCCGGGCTAGATCTTTCCCTCGAAGATCCGCTATCTGTGCACACTGCGCATGCATGCACAACTTATGTACCAATGTGTGTTTGGCATTCCTACCCGCCTGAAAGCATTTTTGGGTATCATCTTCATCCTGTTCAAAGGTTACTTCAATGCAAGAAATAAGGGAAGTGTCTCCAGTGCTTGATGAGATTCTGTTGACTTTGCCTGGTGCATAGGCAGTTAAACAAATTAATCCACTTTTTTTTTTACAGTGCTACAATTTTCCTGACACCCCCGCCCCCCATCATTCAGAGGGAATAACGATGTAGAAATATTGTGATTAAGAGGGAGACCTTAACGGGCAAATATCCAGCCGTTCCCTGCCATGCATGCTTCCCTGAGAGCAAACCCCACAGAAGAGGATGGGGCCCACGGCCACAGAATCAGGCACCGGGCTGCGTGGTCTGCCTCCTGATGGCCAGGTCGCTGCAAAAGGAGGTTTGTAAAAGAAAGTGCAGAACGAAACCTGCAGGTCGAAGTTCATCATCACACACCGTCACTGCGGGTGCACCAAGGAGCCAAGCGTGATCACGCGCAGGGGAGTATCCCGGCTAGGAGGCGCTTGGAGCCTGTCTTTGTGGCGACTGCAACAGGCGAGTAGAGGGGCCTCCTCGGGGACAGCTTCCATTCTCCATTGTCGGCAGGCGGAAGACAAGCCTAAGGCGTGGCGCCCCCAACCGCGCACCTTCGGCTCTCAGGAGCTGTCCAGGGCGCTGAATCTTGTCTCCACATTTGACCGAGCATCTCGGATAATTCCTATTAAAGCGCAGACTAAAACCCGAAGTGGATTCCCAACAACCTTCTCCCCCAGCCTGGAATCCGCAGCAGCCACTGCCTGCCTGGTACCTTTGGCGTAAATCAACAACCACTTAGTGCGTCGGGCTCACCAAAAGGCACCCCTTCACCGAGGGGCGAAAGGGGGTGAGGATTGTTCAGACTGTTGTGTGTGTGTTTTTTTTAAGCACACAAAAATATTTGCACAATGGTGCTGGTACACACAGAGCTTCGCACATCCCCAAGGACACCGTTTTGAAAATCATTATTGTTGCTCTCAATAACCCAAAACCTATTCCCCCCCCCCGCGCGCTAAACCTCGTCTATAAGGAAGCCCTGCTCAAACGAATGCGCTCTGCTTCTTGTCCCACAAAAGGCACGGAATCACAGCGGTGCACAAAAGACCCCCCCCCTCCGCCGCCGCCGCCTCTTTGCATGCCTAATTTTTTTTGCTTCTAGCTGCAGAATTAGCGCCAGCATTGACTTGATTTAGTCGTGGGCTTGGCGACTTCCTGCATCATCGGGTTTGCCTGTCTCTTAATTCTCTGCTGGACTTCTGCACTCGTTTTTAACGGGAGTTTAAAGTAACAGGAGTGTAACGCTAGTTACAAAGCCCATCTAACCCCTGTCACTGGTGCGTTTCTTTTGTTTCTCCTCCGGGCAGGTTTTGAAACATCAAAAATCGAGGCAAATTGGTTGGAATACCTCGGTACTGTGTTGGTATAGCATCCCGTCTCTTTACTTACATTTTCCCATCCTCGATGGTTGATTTTCAACTCCGCTCCCTCCTCCCCGTGCCTTGATTTGAGTTTTTTAATTTTTTAAAATGGTGAGCATGAGTGAATAAAGATGGGACTGAATTCCCCAGAAAACTGAGAACCGTTGGAACCGATTACATAAATAAAAGCGCCGAGAACGGAGGGGGAAAATGGGGAAAAAATCTAGATGCATCGTAGACGTTCCCCTACCTCCTTTACAGAGGGAGCGATCGGGGTATTAATTAATTCTGTGGGGGAAACTCTGAAAAATATACAGTATACAGGGTTTCCTCCATGCAAAGCGTTTTATGTTCAAAGTCGCAGCGGCATCTGGATATTCCATTTGATCCTGACCTCCCTTCCAGGCTAAAGGGATTCGGGGGTGGAGGTGAGAGGAGGGGGCGATTTGCTTAAGCTTCTCCTTCAGACTGAAATCTCATCCTCTTTACGCATCCTGATTCTCTAAATTCTATGTAAACTCGGTATGCCAAATAAGGATTCAAAGGACCGCTTTTAAATTCTTTTTATTATTATTATTCAGTTTCCACATACAGAGGCGTGGTATAAAAGGTAACCCTCGATCAGATGGTGGGGCTTCTCCCCCACCCAAAAGGTTCCCTTTGAAATATTGTAAACAACCATATATTATTATCATTATTATTGTTAGGACTCTTTTATTTCTTCCCACCTTGGAAGAAACTTGTGCTGACATCTCCTTGGTTTTTGGTTGCAGTATTCTTATTTATTAACTAGGGTTAAAAAACATTATAATGGTAACTTTAAAAAGAAATCACAGATCTATCCGATGCAAAGATAGATTTAAATCGTTTCCACTCTGGAGTCAATTCAGCAAAATCCACCGACCGCTTTTTTTGTTTGTTTTTGTGGGTTTTTTTTTTCCTTTGGACATCACAGAATTACATCAAAGGGCAAAGAACGTTTCTCTAAGCGAACTACTCTACTGCGTAAACATTGAGGAAATACGGATCCTTCTTCGGTGAGTGACATGCCTCAGGCAAGGGCTAGAGGGAGGGAGAGGGATAACAAAGACCAGACGCTGGGCGTTCAGCCTCCCCGCCTGTTACTCAATTCATCGAAACGCATCCACGAGAGGTCCAAAGTCACAAACGTTAAAACATACACACGTTATCTCGATTTCTACAGCACGGCTCCATTATTAAAACGGCAATAGGGGACACGTGGCCTGATCTTTCGGTTGGACCCTTCCAGTTCGGTCTGTCCTGCCCCGATCCTGATTTCAGGGACCACTTTGCGACCAGCTCCTAGGGCGGGCGCACCCTTTAGTTGGGGGCGGGAAGCAAAGGGGCTTGGGAGCTGTCCAGCCTCAGCTACCTCCTGAAATGAACCTGACCGGACCTTTTCGGGGAAAGCAAAGGGCTTCTCTCTTTAAAGGACTTTTAAGGCATGGTTGTTGTTCTTGCGGCTGCTGCTGCTGTTCCCTTTGATCTTAGACAAAAAGCAAACGTCCTTTCAGTTAACCGCCTGCTTTCAGTTTTAGAAAAAGCAATTAATTCAAGGAAATGGGAGAGTAAGGAAAAGACGCATTGCATTGGTTTTTTTTTTCTTTTGTAACTTTCTCTAGGCGTCTCTCAAATTTTAGTTTCAAAGGGTTTTTTAAAAAATGATTTTAAGTTTGGAAAGACGAATGTCTCCAGGCTACATAATCCCAAAGCAGACCTATCCAAATATTTGAGGCTTCTGTGACAACCGGGTGAAGGGAGAGAATCTTTTAAAAGACCCACACACCCCCCAAGACGGCCGGTTGGGAAGAAGAGAAGGGAGTGGCCTACATTTTGGAGGCTTCCCGTCGCCCCCCCCCCCTTTGGAAGCGGTCCACCTCGGGAAGGCTGTGGCTGATCAGCCCGCGATGCCCTCAGTAAGAATAGAGTGTCCTTCCAATTGCGCAAGACGCGCCGGCTTCGGAGCTCCGGGAGTGCCCGGGGAAGCCTCAGCGAGGCGGTTGCTTGTAATTGCCGTTAATCTCTTGCGAGATCGTCACCGCCTCAGCCCCGAGAGGGAGCCGGTCGCTGTATTCAGAGCCCACTTCGAATTCCTCTTGGTTGGTTTTGGATTGAGATTCGGGGATGGAGCTGGCGGCCAGGCTCTCGTCTCTTTCCAGCTCTCCTCCCCCAGCCACCCTTCGCCCCTCTCCCTCCTCTACTCCCTCCCCATCCCCCTCCTCCTCCTCCTCCACCTCTCCGACCCCCATCTCACTCGGATCGTAATTCTTCTCCGATTCCAAGTAGGACGCCCGCGGATCGAAGTCCGCGGCCATGTGCTTTTCCATCTGGTCGGCAATCTGGGTTCTCATGATGAGCTTGTAAGTCTTGCCGTGGTATTTGGACAGAAGGTGGCAACAGGTGGCCCCCAGCAAAGGGACGGTGGCCAAGCCCAAGAGGAAGATGCTCACCACCACGATGATGATGAGGGAAGGGATCTCCTTCTTGGTGGTAAAGACCACCTGGATTTGGCAGTCCTCCCCAGCGTAGGTCATGCAGACCGAGTAGTTGGTGCCGGGGCTCAAGCCTCGGAACCAGTAGGAGTTCACCCCTTCCTCGATCTGGGACCACTGCACCAAGGCGTGCCCCTTCCTCTCCTCCTCGCACAGGTACAGCATGCGCAGGTGGGTTTTCTCCGGCTGGGTATAAAACGGGGTGATTTGCACCTTGGCCTCCCTTTCCGAGACATCGAGGGCGATGACCCCCAGGTCGAAGCTGTGGGGCTTGAGGTCGGCGCTCTCGTTGAAGGCGTGGTTGGAGACGTACTGGGTCACTTGGCTGGGGCCGCACTTCTTCTCCACTGCCGGCGGCTTGAAAGGGGCGCCCTCGCCCTCGCCCTCGCTGCCGGCCCGGGGCCCTGGGGCGTGGGAGTTCCGCGGCGGGGTGGGCCTGGGCGACTGCACTTTGGTCCTTTCCTCCGGCTTCATGACGCTGTTCTTGGAGGCCTTGCCGTCCAGCTTCCGGTCTCCCGGCTGAGCTTTGGGGTCTCCCAGCGGGCTGGTGGGATCTTTCGGGGCGTCCGCCACGGCCACGTTGACCGAGGTTTGGTTCCTGCCCACCTCGTTGGTGGCCAGGCAAGTGTAGGTGCCTTCCTCCTTCTTGCTGAGGCGGGGGATCACCAGGGTGCCGTTGCTGAAGGCCCGGAACCTCTCCTGACCGCCTCCTGGAGCGCCCTCCGAAGGCAGGTTGTTCTGGCTACTGCCCTCGTGTTCCGCTCCTGCGATCTCCAGCGTTTGGCCCGACGAGGTCTGGATTCTCCAGCTGACCGCAGGCTGCGGCAGGCCCTGGGCGTGGCAATGCAAGGCGAGGGTGAAGCCGTAGTAGAGCGGGGTGTGGTCCAGGTTAGGATGATAGGTCAGCTGGACGGTGGGGGGCACGCAGTGCAAGTACGGGATCTTGGCCAAGGGGAGCCCCTTCCAGGGCTCTGGGGAGGCGCAGGCGATGGCGTCCCGCTCGGGGATGGAGATCAAGGTGTTCTCCGTCCAGTTCTTCAGCCACATGAGCTGGCAGGTGCAGTTGAAAGGGTTGTTGTAGATCTGGAGGTGGGAGAGGGAGGTGAGGGGGTCGAAGGTGCCTTCCGCCACGGCGGTGAACCGGTTGTTGTTGATGCGGAGGGAGCGCAGGTCCCGCAAGGTGTGGAAAGCCTGGCCCGGCAGGTGGGCCATGCGGTTGTTGTTCATCTTGAGCAGCTGGAGGGCGCTGAGGTTGTACAGGTCGCCCCAGGGGAAGTCCACGATCTGGTTGTGGCTGAGGTCCAGGTTCTTCAGCTGCACCAGGATGGCCAAGGTGCCTTCCTCGACGGCGCCGATCTTATTGTGGGCCAGCCACAAGGAGGTCACCTGCGTGACCTCGGCGAAGGAGCCCTGGCGCAGCGCCGAGATCTTGTTGGCCGACAGGCTCAGCGTGGTCACGTTGGACGGCAGCCCCGCCGGCACCGCCTCCAGGTCCTTGTAGGCGCAGTCGGCGAACTGCTGCGCGTAGCGATCCACGCAGGCACACGGCTCCGGGCAGCCCGCGGCCCTCGACGGCGCCTCCAGGAAAAAGAAGGCGAAGGAAAGGGAGGCTGCCAGCCAGCCCCGCGGCGCCGCAGACATCTTGGCCCTCCTGGGAAAGCGGAAGGAGAAAAGAGGTGTGTGGGAGGGAGACAGAAAGAGAGAGAGAGAGAGGTCCGTTAGGGTTAAGTGGAGCCGCCTACAGCTCAGAGCCGTCCGAGGCCACTCTTCCCTCCGCGCCCCCAGCAAGATCCTCCCGAACGGCTCGCTGTCACGATCATGGCAAATGCCAGGATCCTCCAAATAGCCCAAACCTGCAGAAGATGCAGCCGAAATGGACAGGTGGCACCGCCGTGCTCTGTGCTAGAAACTCCCTCCTGGC